AAAAAAATATACCAAATACAGAAGTAAAACAATATAATTAAACTGTTGATTTTAATAGCTGTTTCTTACTCATTTTAATTTTATGGATAGTTTAATTATACGTTGAACTTTTTTATTTTGTGTATTTGTAATAACAAACAAACAAAAACACAGATACACACTAGCTACATCTACGGATGCAGGATCTTAGCTATTTATGTGAAGCTGTCCTTACAAACACTTTTGGCAGAAAACCTAAGGACTACATCTTTAAAAATGACTGCTGATGGTGTATAATGGCAGGGCGAGGGGATTACAAATGGTTATAATTATACTACTTTCTGGAAAAACTAGTCTCTCAGTTGGTGGCCACCATCTATCTTTGTTGTCAGTTTTGGTTTTAGGGTCAGTGCTAAACTGTGCCATTTAAGTACAGATAGATTGGGTCCAGCAGGTCAAAAAGTTTAAAAGATTCAATCAAATTCTTCTCAAAAACTCACAAAATTTGAGAAATCTCCTTGACTGCGAGAAAAATACATGTGCTGCTAAAAACCAGGGGGGAAAAGAAAAGGAAAACATTAAGAACATTTTCCAATACTCAGTACACTTGATCATACAATCTTCCTTCCTAAAAAAAAAACAAAAACAAAGTTGTCAGAAATTACCATTTTAAAATAGCTCTCTAGACACTAACTTAAATAATGTTTGGAAAGCATCTTTAATAAAGTATAAACCTTTGATCTCTGTAGAACTTACATTCCTCTCTCTTCTTGAAAGTGACCCATTTCGATGGGATCAGAACACCCTGTTCATCAGTTGTTACATTCTGTTCTATGTATCGTAATCTTCTCATACATTGGATTGTCTAAGCTAAATGGTGGACTATATCCAGCATGACAATTATTTTCTTACACAATGAAGAGGGAAATCAGTATGATGGAAGATCTATTCCCACCCACCTACCCACTATGGACTTGTTTTCTCATGCAGCATCTTCTCATGCTCTGTCTGCTCATACATAATGCTTTCATGGGGTCTAAAATAAGGGAGTAAAAGTTGTTTCTTCCAGGAAAAAGGGAATGTTCCATTATGCAAGAGTTTCCATATTCCCTTTTTATTCCTTGCCCATATGAGGTCATGATAAAAGAAGTTAATAACTGCTTGAGGGTTATGATTACAATTATATTGGCCTAATTGCAATTTTAATACTTACCTAACTGCACTATTAACACTAATGAAGGTATTTTGCTGGGTCTTGTCCAGGAATACTCAGGAATGCTAATGACTAATTTTCTGTTAATCTGATGATGCAATTCCATGTATGCTTCTTTGGGAGTAAACCAATTGAACTCAATAGCACATGATAAGCATGTATAGTTTGCATTACAGCTATCAAACTGTTTAAAGAGTGACTGTTCCTTCCTCATCTCATTCTTAAACCTGACATAAATATGTGACATACATGTAAAAAAACTTTTTTCTCCTGCCTCCATGTAAATACATACAGAAACAAATCTAATAGTCTTACTGGGTGATGTTTTTAAGCAGGGAATGGAACAGATAATTGCAAGAGAATCAGCGTTGTTCTTTAAGGGAACTCTTTTGTTACAGGGAGCTGTATTTTCCAATCATAATATTCTTGTGCAGAGAACATATGCCGGTAAGTGGAGGGATTGGATTGGAGGGATTTCACAGTTCCTATGTGTCCCCTAAATCAAGGGCTATGTAGGGATCGTGAATACTACACAGTTATGAATGTGTAACTCCAAATTAACTCCACATGTTCCCAACAGGATCATGGCCATTTTTATTTATTTAGGGAAGAATTCAGAATCACATGGATGTGTAACCTAGTTATGTATCTATAACCATATTTATGATCCCTATGTAAGTCACAATAGCTACAATTGTAATTGGCTTCCACAAACCTAGTTCAACAGGTATCAGCCTCATCAAGAGAAGGAGGTCAAGTCCACTGATAATCAGTGGGTGACATTTCCACCCTCTTCCTACCAACAACTGAGACTGAAAATCACAAGAAGGAGCCTTGTTGCACTTCCATAGCACAGTCATTGACTAGCAATGGTGGTGTGTGGAAATGTCATCCAACCATCACCAGCAGAATGGACCTCCTTCTCTGAGTGTGGCTGATGCCCAGTAAAATAGATTGGGTAGGGTTGGGCCAGGAGATGCTACTTAGTTATGTATACGTAGCCCATGTAAAGTACTAGCCATTATTATTAAAATATTTTACCCTTTCCTTTTTCATGATATCTTAGGATGGCAAACAGATAAAACAATTTAAACCATTTAAATAATTCCAAATTAATGTCATTAAATCATGTCAACAACATAAAAACATATTAAGCAACTCAAGCTAAAACACCTTCAAAAATACTAAAAGAGTTTTAAAATAAATGCATGCTTAAAAGCAAACTAGATACCAAAGGCTTTTATAAAAAGCCATGCCTTGACCTGGAGCCAAAAAGAAACTGATGGCTATGTCCTATATCTAGAAACAATCAATAACATCCTCCATCAAGATCCATGACTGGGGTACAGCCAGATGCTTCTCTGATCCACTGCACTCTCCATCTGCCACACTTCATCTGAAATGGCCTTTCAGAAAAAACCATGAGTCTCACATGGGGCTTTGGTTGTTGTGGCAGGTGGAAGAGAATACCAACCTCTGCAATTAACAACAATAACAAAATATACACAGTCATAAGGTGGGCCTGCACTTGCATATATCACTTAGAAGATGGCAGCCCTCATTTGTGCCAAAACACAAATCTGTTGAAAAATCTTTGCATGCTCTCTCCTCCTCCTAAGACAGATAGGATCTTCCTGTTGGGATATAGCAACTTCGCATGCTGAGTCTTTCTAGGGCTATAGGTATGCATGTCTATGATAGTTTTATTACCCACTAGTAGCCCCTCCTCATTTCCTGTTTTTAACTAAGCACACCTCACCTTTTGGCCCATGCTTGAGAATCTTTATTACCCTTTGTCCTTTCCCTGAAAATGCTTGACCAGCAAGCATGCTAGAGCAAAACTTCAGGCCTTTGCAGACTGCCAGAAATAGTGCACATTAAATTGAGGCACTGCCCTGGCTCAGTGCTAGGGAATCATGGGAACTGTAGTTTATTGTGGCACCAGAGCTCTCTGACAGAGAAAGCTCAATGTCTCAGAAAAAAATATAATTCCCATAATTCCCTAGCACTGAGCCAGGGCAGTGCCTTAATTTAATGTGCACTATTTCTGGCAGTCTGCAAAGGCCCTTCCTTAGAAGCATGTAGAACTACTTTTCTTACTTTCTTCTTTTCTTTGCAACATGAAGCTAGACCTGTATATCTCCATATACATGATTTTGTAAGTAAATATCATTTTATTTTACTCTAACTGAAATCTCTGTGTTGTTTTGTAGACATGTGGGTGTGGGAGATAAAAGTGGATCTAGTCTGTTCCTGCTCATCATTATTCTGCTGTGCTTTATTCTGCTGGTAAGATTAAGCAGTCTCTCCTGTTTCTTGAGCATCCTAGTGGATATCAAGAAAATATTTTCCAACAGGTTATGGGCCCAGTTACTCTGAGCAGAAGGGAACAATTTAAAAGTAGATTGTTTGGGTATATCTCTCTCTGGCTTTTCTTTGCAAACGAAGATTCAGGAAGGACTCA